GCACTTAATTGTATTTGTGTTATACTACAGGGAAAATGTATGCAAAGATAAAAAAGATAAGTTCTCAGGGTGCCGTCTGTAATTATACATAAGAATAATCAACAGCATAAAAACTATTTGTATAAAATGAGCATTGATAATTTGGGCACAGATAAAGTAATTTCAAGACTGAGGAGTTTATGTATACTATTAATGTAGAACAGTAATTGTAGAAACAAGAAAAATTAAATTTCAGCTGACCCTTACTTAAGTGATTATAAATTTGAATATACATTTGATTAATATATTAATTGATTAAATGATATTAATATTTCATTAATAATATAACATTGCTATAAATTTTATAGAAATATAAAATAATAACAATGACCAATGGTATTTGTTTCCATAATCCAAGGATGGTTCCATATCAGTAAGTCTACTACATAGTTCATAATATTAATCTAAGGAGAAAAGATCATACCATCATTTGAATGATAAAGTGATGCTTGATAAATTCAAAATGTTGTTAAAATACTTTTAATAAAGTAGATAAAGTAATAAGATAGCAATTACCTCAAAATAACAAACTGTAGCTGGTCAACAACTTAAACATCATGCTTAAGTGGAAAAACATTATTCTCATTAATGAGATGCATTCTCATCAAGGTTAGAATATAATAAGGAAATCATTACCACTGCTCTCATTAATATTGATCTGAAGAGTCTGAAAAGCAAAGATACTAAGGAAATGTAATAAATTAGAGGCATGCAACATAAAAGTAAGAGGTAGAATTATCACTATTTGTGGATATTATAATTGTATGTTTAGAAAGGACCCAGATATTATAGTGAAAATCTTTTAAAGCAGAGAAGTCAATAACATGGATAGGTATGAAAGTATGAAGTAACCTTCATATATACAAACAACAGCAGGAAGATAAAACAGAAAAGGTCTCATTTACAATAACAACATAATTTAACATATCTGGTAATAAACTTGAGAATAAATGTGCAAGATCTGTATGGCCTAAAGTTTAGAATACTCCTGAGGGTCACAGAAAAGATAAGAAAGGAAAAAAAGAAAAGGCAATTCATATTACAGGTTTGTAAATTATTGCCAAGTCAGTTTGTAAACTTAACTTAATCTTACGGAAGTATTTCCAGGAGTTCTTTTTTTTTTTTTGCATCTGAAAGATCTATAATTAAGTTCACTTGTCATATTGAAGAAGCAGAAAGAGCCAGGAAAGTTTTGAAAAAGATCAAAACTTAAAATCATTTTCTGACTAGATAATGAAACAAATTAAAGTCTGTAATTATGCAAATAATTAAAGCATCATGGTACCGATATAAAACAGACAACTCAATAGAACAAAAATATGATGCAGAAATCACTCCAGTTACAGAAATTCAATATATGATAAAGGTGACATCTCGCGTAAGAAAGGAAAAATAGATTACTCACTAAATTATTTTAGGATAACCAGGCAGATATATGAAAAAAAAAATTAGGCTAGAACCATAGCTCACATCTTCAGAAGGATAATTTCCTGATCTAAATATTTCAATGTCAAAATCTTTAAAACAAACAAGATTAAAAGTACAAGAAAATTCTTTTATAAACTTGAAAGTTCTTTCTGAACTATGCTATAAAGTCCAGAAACCATAAAATGAAAAATTGCTTATAACTATCATATAAAATAAAAATTTTATATGTCAATACCAACATAAACAAAGAAGCCAGAAAAATACTTGTAATTTGTGTCACAAAAAAAGGCTAACTTTGGCTTTTAAGAAAAAATCCATATCCTTCACTAAGAAAAATACCAACAACTTCACAAAAACTGGACAAGGACAGAAAGAGTAGTTGACAGAAGAGGAAATATACATAACTTTTAACATATAAAATGATGCTCAATCATCTATCAGATTGGCAGAGAATTAAAAAAAAAAAGTTGACTAATACACTGGTCAGTTTAAGTGTAGAAGTGTCACTCCCATACTGGCACTACTTAAAGGGTGAGATTTTTGGTAATGTCTACCAAGGTCCCAATCCAAACGTACACATCCTTCATTACTGCATTTTCATCTTAGGAATTTATCCAGATTCACACATATGCTAAGTTGCCTAAGTTCTTAATTAATTATTGTACCACTGTTTGCAGTATCAAAAGATTTGAAATCCACTTTCCACCACAGAAGAAAGTCTGCATGAATCATGACGCATCTACACATGGAGTACCTTGCAACTATACATCAAAGGAGACAGCTTTTTGTTCTACTGTAGAGTGATGCTATCGTATGTGTAGGAAAGAAATAAATGTAAATTCTCTCTGGAAGAAGAAAGCCTAAGAAACTGATCATGGATGCCAAAAAATAGACAACTGGATCAAGTAGATGTGTTGTACATACATGATGGAATACTACTCACCAAGCAAAAAAACATGCCCTTTGCAGCAACATGGATGGAGTTAGAAGGGATCATGCTCAATGAAATAAGCCATAAGGAAAAAGAAAAATATTGAGTGGCTTCACTTATAGGAGGAGTGTAGGGGAACCAAGTATGAGATTAAGGGGAAAAAACAACAATTAACCCTGCAAGGGTCGGGGAGGAAAAGGGATCAAAACGGGAGATAAGAGCACAAGGAACTATGGTGAAGGTTCATGGGTGAACTGATGGCTGGAATCTTATGGGGTCTATACAATGGTGTAAAAGATACAAATTAAAAAATTTATAAAAAAAGAAAGAAACTGATTATGGAATCTTTGCTGAGAAATAGGCCTGCTGGCCATGGGATAGGGAAGGGGAGAGGACTATCTATTGTGATCTTTTTGATCCACTTATGATGAACCATGTACCACCCAACAGAAGTTAAGCTACACACTAGAGCTTATGATGTTCTGTTTATCCCCAATATGATCTTGTTAATGTAAATAACTCTTTGATAAAAGCAGCAAAGAAGAAAAATAATTTTTTACTTGCAAAGTTCCAAAATAAAGTTTAAAAAAATACAGAAACTTATAAAAAAAATACAGAGAAACAAAGTGGCCCAACAGTAGAGACAGTAGAATGATATTGTTTAAAGCAAGCAAACAAGTATTCACAACAAAAAAAGAAATGATGTGAATGTCTCACTAAACTATTCATAAGGATGTTCACCAAAATTCTGGCGGGGAGGAGAGGAGGTGAGAGGACATATGTTATTAATATTTTCTAGATATTTTCACTTTCTTGGGTGATTTGATTCTTGACTATACTAACTTACTTTGTAATTAGAATTGTAATCAGACTTAAATATATAAAAACAATAGGATCCACTGATACCCAACTATGTTTAAGTTAGTGATAAAAAAATACATTTTGGCCCTCCCTGGTGGCGCAGCGGGTTAAAGTACAGCACTGAGAAGCTAAAGTCACTTCCACATGAGTTCGATCCCCGCCAGCCCCGGAGGTGACCACATGGCGTGGCAGACCTCTCCTGACCCGCCCACTGCTCCCCTCAGCAGTGTACTTCGTCGATCTGCCTGTTCTGCTCCCCACTCTGTCTCTGGTGAAGCCTCTTACCGCCCTGCACCTCTGGCCTTTACCCTGATTCTGTAGGCATAAATAAACAAAAATTTAAAAACACAACAAAACAATACAATTTTAAAGAGGCACTGGTATTGTTTGACTTGTAGAATGCCAAGTCGAGTGTGCTAGAAAAGGTATCTGGTGTGTTTGTGGAGGAAAGTAAACTGGTACCTTTCCCTTGTTGAAACTGAAATTTGTAATTGGCAGTTGGACCCTAATATGTTTCACATATGCTGCTCGCTCCCTTTCCCAAGGCATTTGTCAGTGTAAGTTAAGAATCTTAAAAATATTCACAGCTTTCCTCCAGTAATTCCATTTCTTGGAGCCTATCCTAAAAAAAAAAAAAAAAAACTCAAAGGAAAGAAAAAGTTCTGTGTATAAAATGGTCATTCGGTACTTAATATAAAATAGAAATATATCCACATATAGAATTTGCACAGACATCTAAGTTAAACAGTAAGAAAAGTTCACGACATAGTAACATATTCACTAGATAAAATTTCAACAGCCATTAAATCACCTTCAGGTAGACCTTGTGAATTGGCATTATCTGTGATGTGCTGTTTTCAGAAGATACAGTAGTATCCCTTTATCTGCCATTTCACTTGCCAAAATTATTATGTACACTGAGGTTTTTTTTGAAAGAGGCCATACTCACATAACTTTTCTCACAGCATGTTGTAATAGTTGTTCTATTTTATTATTGCTCATTGTTATTAATCTCTTGTCATGCTTAATTTATAAATTAAATGATCATAGGCATGTCTAGGGACATATATGGTTGACACGGAGCCCATGGATTTGTGGTTTCAGGAAGCCATTGGCTAGGGGTAGGGAGGTGTGTTGTGGGGTGAAAGTCTGGGAATGCAACACCCGCAGACAAGGGTAGGGGCCTACACACAAATTTACGTACAACTTAAATTCATAGAGTAAATTTAAGGACAGTGAATGGGGAAATGGTGGAATTATGGCTGATTTTTTTTTTATCTTTTCAAGACTTTCTAGAACATACCTTGAAATTCATTTTTTTGTCATTTTTTTAAAGATCTATTTATTTGTACAGAACTGGGGTACAGGCCAGAGATGTGGAGGGTGAGAGGCTTCACCAGAGACAGAGTGGGGAGCAGAACAGGCAGATTGAGGAAATACACTGCTGAGGGGAGCAGCAGGCGGGTCAGGAGAGGTCTGCCACGCCATGTGGTCACCTCCGGGACCGGCGGGAATCGAACTCATGCGGAAGTGGCTTTAGCTTCTCAGTGCTCTGCTTTAACCTGCTGCGCCACCTGGGAGGGCCAAAATTCGTTTTTTTCAAAAGTTTCAAATGGAAGTTTTCCTGTTTTCAGCAGAATTGAATTCCAGAAAGAAAACCAAGTAAAAGATACCAGTTCGCTAATCTAAGGATAACTAATGGTCCAGCATGAACTGGTTTTGTTAGGAAGGAGCCACCTACCTGCATCTCTCTCCAGAAAGGGGTGGTCCTTGCACCCTCGGTGGGCGCCTCCCAGGTTCCACCCCTGCTTCTCTGGGGGCTGGGTGTTGTCCAAGGGCACCGTGTTGCCCCCGGGGCTGCTCCAGAGGTCGTTTTGGTACCTGGGTTCCTGGGAGAGACTCTCCCAAGATTTTTCCTTGAGTCTAAAGGATGATGCAAGTGAGATAGTTCTCTTTGGAACCCTGGAGGCCTCTGGGTAGGTTTCTTGCAAACTCACTTTCTCCATGAGAGAGGGGACATCTTCGATTCTGCTGCAGGATGGGGAATTGAAAGCAGACGTCTTGGATCCCCGGTTGGGTAAGCTCTGGGTGTGGAAGGCAAGGTTGGGGAGGCTGGGGCCTAAAGGTTGGTCAGTCCTGGCAGTCGGGGTGCCCCGAGAGAAGAAGGTTGAGGCTCTGCTCAACGCCTCTCTTCCTGGGAAGTGTGGGTCCCAGTCTTTACTGGAACTGGAGTTCCGAAGGCTGAGTGAGCGAGTGCAAGCGTGTGACTGGCTGGTGGGCAAAGTCTTGGATTTGGGCTTGACGGTGGCCTTCCTCCCGCCTTCAGAGATGAACATGGGCTCTAGGGTCCTCCAGAAGGCATCTGCTAGGATCCGCAAGGGGGACTTGGGTACAGGCACTGGTCGCTCCCACGGAACCTGCTCGGCTGGGGTCCCTGCCCTCTCGGGGGTTTCTCTATGGGCTGACTGGGGCTCTTTCACTCCTGGGGGGAACTGTAAGGGGCTGACTGGTTTCAGCACATGGCCTTCTCTGCCATTCTGAGCCACTTTCTGAGAAAACTGTGCTCCAGTTTCAAAGTGCAAGCTCTCAGGGGCTGAGTCATTCCAGTCCAGCAGATTGGTCTTCTGCTCGGGACTGAGGACTAACTTCTTCAAGTTTGACTTCTGCCTCTCTGCTGGTTCTGGCCCATGTGTAGCTCCCCGCCGGGATCTTGCTCTCCAGCCTCCTGAGTCTTCCTGAGTCTCTGCACCCCTGGGAGATAGCTCTTGGTCTGGTAAATGCCTGTTGTTCATAATGGGGTGTGGGACTTTCTGGATGGTTCTGGTGTCCCCAAGAGGGGTCTTTGCTTCCTGATACCATCCAGAAGCCGTCTTTGCAGGATTGGGTGGCCTAGTAATTATGAGGTCATCTTCCCCAGGCCTCACCAGACAGTATTCAGCTTGCTCCAGCACTTGACCATGAGGCATATACAGCGGAATGTCCTTGGGTGCTCCATGAGCTCTGGCTTGCCTCATGGTTCGAGTAGAAACACTGAAATGGTCTCCTGAGACCTGTGAGGGTGGGCTATAAGCTGTTGCCTGGATGGGAAAAGATAATCAAGGACAGAGATTTAGAAATTCCCAGTACTTATTTATATTTACTTAAATGGAGAAAACACTGCTCAGTCATCCACCCCATTCCTCTCTTGAGATCTCAGACACCCAAAGTCAAAAGAACTCTGCCTAGCACAATTTCAAAGGATGGTTCTTCATTCTCAACGGCTGCCTAGGGGCCTGTCAGGATTTATCCAGAGCCCCCATCTCAGCACTGATAAAAGGTCTTTTGGGATTTCGGTTAGGTGTGTGGGAAGCCAGAAAGGAAGGGACAGACATGACAAGCTTGTCAGCTGAGGACAGGCCTGGCTTGTCCCTCATGGGTGGCCAGTCATGTAGGGAGATTCAACCATGGTCCTGTGAATGAGCACATTCTACCCATATGTGGTAAGTGCCCCAACCACCAAGAGTCAGAACTACTTCCTTGGAGACTGTCAAAATAAGGAGAGAGTTGCCCAGAGTGGGAGCTGGGTGGTAGCAGAAGGATGGCCTTATAGACCTTCCCCGCCGTGTGTCAGTGAGAGGAGCCATTTTTAGACTGCAGGAACTTGGCTACTGGTAACAGAAGAACACAGGTGCGTGCTAAAAGGAGTGGCCACACCATGTTAAGAGCTCTGGTGCCTCAGGGGCAGGTTGTGTGGGAGCTCACAGAAGCTTGTGTTTTTTCTGCCATGTATGCCTTACCACCCAGAGCCCTGCACAGGGCCTTGCAGGTAATGGGGACTTGATAAACTACTGATGAGAAGAGTCCAACAGTATTTCTCAGTCACACCATTTTCTGTTCAAGGGGGATGTTGTTCCAAGGTTGTCAGATGTTACCAATGGCACAGAACCCTCCATTCTGCACCCACTATGTGCAATACCTGCTGTGAAGTTACCAAGGGCAGGCCTTATGCCCCAGTGTCTCTGCAGCCCAGTCCACAGCCCCTAAAGTTGCTCAGTGAATGAGTAGTTGTTTCCTTAGTGAGGGCAAGAGCTGAGAAGGAACAGGAAGAGCTTCACAAGAGGGGTACATGATGGCTGGCCTGGGGGGCTCTCGACAGAGCACACCTCCAACAATGACTTTGCACTTGGGAGAGCCTAAGAGTGCCTAGAATCCAGAGGTCAGTCTAGGAGTGAGAGGAATACACACAGCACCCCCTCCCCCTCCAATTTCTGTGCAGGACCCCTAGAGCCACTTACCGGAGGCATGGAGGAGCCAGCCCAAGCAGTCCCCAAGACGCTGGCAGAAGATGGTGGGGAAGACGAAGGAGAAGACAGTGAGGATGAAGAAAGGGAGGGGGAAGCTTCCTTTGGAGATGACATGGCTCTTTTGTTGTATTCTGGCTCTAGATTTGCTGTCAAATCTACCAAGGAAAGAACACATTCTTGATGACAGCGCTGTTATTATCTTACGCAATCATGAAGAGGTGGTTTTAAGTGAAGCTCCAACTCTGTAAATAGAACCTGAGGGGTTGGAGACTGAGTTACAGGCCCCAGTTCCCACAACTCAAGACTTCATGGACAGGGCACAGGAGGGGCAGGCTCCCGTGAGGCTAAGAAGGTCTGGGTATGGAAAGTCCAAGATCCAGCATGTCACATGCTCACGTGATAACAGATCCAGGTGCCCCCAGGGTGTTTCCTGGGAGTGGACATCTCCCTCTAAGCTTTCCCTGAAGCTACTGTGGCCGGGGCCTGGGGATGCCTTAAATCACTTAGTCAAGAAACTATCTAGTCTCTATCCAGGAGTTGCTGGACCACTAGCTGTGGGCATGGTCTATGTCACTGCTAATGAAATGGCACTTCCTTCTTGTGTGTGCCAAGGGGCTCTCAACAAGGTGGCTGATTTGAGATCTTGAAGAGAGCACAAGGGAGGGGAGGGAGGTTACAATGATCATTTGAAGCAATGGAGAGGGACCCTTGCCAAGCTCCTCTTGGTCAAGGAACAAATGCAATGCAGGTGTGTGCTCAGAGTTACTGAGAAAGGAGTGTGGTTGGGCCCTGAGCACATGCCTGAAGCTGACCCATGGGTGCTGAAGCCCATCAGGGCAGCTGCCAGAGAACTACCTGCTGTCCTGGGAGAGCAACCTCTTTCTCTGTGTGTGCATGAAACACCCCCAGCCCTGTGACCTCAAATCTAGAATTCAAGCATTCTGTCTTCATATTGGACCATGTCAGACAATCTGTCCTCAAAAGGAATAAGGAAAATGCCATGCTCCCTTTCAAATTGCCCATTTGGTGTCCAACCCTGAGCCTAGCCAGCTCTTCATGAGCCCACCCGGTACGCAGAGGCTTCTTTTCCCTGGACACGGAGCAGGGCCCTTCCTTGTGTCCAACTAGGAGCTCCTGTCTGCCCTTCTAGCATCTCACTTCTGGCTGCTCAGCTGACCCATTCAGATTTCCCTCCTGGGGGAGGGGATGCAGCCTTCAGATTCTGGAGCCCTTCCTAACTCAGCACAAGCTTCCAGTTTCTCCAGAGCTTTCTACATTTCTCTTCTGGGATCCACCCTGATCAAGCCCCACCCAAAGAAGAGCTCCTTCAGCCCCTCAAGCACAGGGGCGACAGTGGGGGGCTGTCAGCAAGTACTCCATCCGCCTCCGGCACATACAGGCGAGTCAGAGCCTGCATCTGGGCCGGGCTCTGGAAGATGGCCACCACCCACAGACAGCTGCAAGCCCCTGATGGGAAGCCCTTCCGAGTGCTGCAGAGGGAAAAGGTAACTCAGGGAACAGATGTGGGGGTGGGCAGGAAGGAGCTGGGGGTGGGGGGTGAAAGGCCGCTAGCTGCCAGGAGCTGACTTGGGGAAGGCAGCTGGCCAGCAGGCCTGTTATCCGAACCCCATCTCAGCCCACAATGAGATGGCTAAAAAGAGAGCCTAAAAAGGCAAAACTTGGGAGTCTGTTGCCTTGCTTCCTGTCCTCGGCTTGCCAAATTCCTGCCAAATTCCTTCTCCTCCTCTTCCTCGCCCCCTCATTCTCTCTCCTCTTTCTGCCACCTCCTGAATCAAACTCCCAAACGTGTCTCAAAGTCCCCTCAGCTCAACAGACTGCCTTTTTGTTCCCCAAGCAGCTCTGGGGAGCCTTGTGACACAGAGCGGTGGGCCCTTGGCAATTCAGCCTGACAGGGAAGCCTTGGGCCCACGCAGTTCTAAGTCCGAAATGCCCCTCTCTCCTCTAGCCCCACCCCAGCTGGTAAGGGCTCTCCCCCTGTCCATAGTCTTGCAGATGGAACTGGGGAAGAGTGGGGTGCTGAGGGGGAACAAAAGATCTGCATTCAAGGCGGTGCCTGGGAGGGGAAGGTAAGGCCAGAGCAGCAGAGGGAAGACATAAACGTTTCCTGCTGGAGGCTGCCTCTAGTCTTCCCTCAGAGAATGGCAAAGGGGAGCCTCGAACCCCACCTCCTTTATACCCTCCAGCTTCCGGACACTGAGCAAGATATTTAATGCCTCAGTTTCTCATCTGAAAAATGGGAAGTCAAGCACTGCTTCAAGGGAGATAGGAGGAATAAATTGAGGTGCTTGGTGCAGGATATAAAATAAATCATTAACTGTGGGCTTAATGTTAATTCTAACCTCTTCCTTCAATACATACGAGTGGTGTCTGATAAAGACACCGCTGGACCCCACACTGTTCCAAGGCACCCCAGCCAGGAGGTCTCTAACTCGTGGGTCCAGGGACTCCTTGTGCACCAGCTCACACCCCTCCATGCCACCCTTTCTTGTTCTTAAAATCTTCCTATGGCCCTCTCTGGTGGCGTAGTGGGTTAAAGCACAGCACAAAGAAGCTAAAGCCACTGCAGCATGAGCTTGATCCCTGTCCTGGAGGTGACCCACATGGCATAGCAGACCTCTCCTGACCCGCCCACTGCTCCCTTCAGCAGTGTACTTCGTCAGTTCTGTTCCCGGCTCTGTCTCTGGTGGATCCTTTCTCCACCCATGCACCTCTGGCCTGTAACCCAGTTCTATATGAATAAGTAAATAAAGCTATAAAAAAGAGTCTTCCTATGGCCCAACCAGAGCTGTCTGCCCTCTGCAGGACCCTCAGTCATGGGCAATGTGGGTGCTCTGAGTCCCTTTGGGGCAGCTGAGCAGCTGGGGCCTGGACAACAGCCCCTGTTCCCTGGTCAGCTGCCTTTCCTCTGGGCGCTCTGGCAGTGATGACTCTGTCCTTGCTCCTAGCTATGCCAGAGGCCCGAGGGCCAGCAGACAACCCGCCTGGGGCTGGGGCCAGGGGTCCTACCACAGCACCAGCCTTGCCCGGTGGGATCTGCCCTTGAGGAAAATAAAGATGGGCAAAAAGATGGTGACTGTCATCTCTGGGAATTTTTACAAAAACTGGGATTCCAGAATTTGGCACTTAGGGAACTAGCACATTCTTCTACAGTCTTAGATCGCCCCCTAGGGGCAGTGACCTGTCTGCCTCAGCTCAGTCTCCATTTACTCCTGCACTTAGTCCAGACAGCTGGTTTCTTAGTGTTTAGCTTGTCATTCGCTCGTGTGTTCGTTCATTCACTCACTTACTCACTCACTCACTTGACAAGTTAGGACTCAGGCCTTCTCTGAACCCAGCACATGCCTGGCTAGGCAGTAGCCTACAGAGTGATTGAAACTTAAGGCCTCCCTCAAACCAACTTCTGCCAATGCCATCCTGGATCTGAAACAGCCTGGCACTCCCTGGACAGCCAAAGACACTGCTGGGCTCCCTGGTGCACCCCTGCCTGGGCAGGTTAGCAGACTTTTCTCCTGCAGCTTTTCCAGCATTCCTGAGCCCTGCTGTCTGACCCCAAGCTATGAGCCGGCAGAGGGTAAGGTAAACCCCTGCACAGGTGGCTTCAGTAAAGTCAGCTGGAGGCACTGGATGGAATCTTTACCTAAAGGGACCCACCTGTAGAAGCAGAACTCTAGTGACTTGGAGAGGAGCTGCGGACAGGGAGTGAGTGAGAAGACCAGTGGAATAGGCCAGACCCAGGCCTTCAGGAAATATTCACTCCCTTCTTATGCTCACTGCCTGGGGTTGCAAGATGATTCTAGAGTCATTTCAGGTTGTCCCTAGATGTGCAGCCCTGGTCTAGCTCCAGAGGTGCCCATTGTCCCGGCCTGACCAGAGAAAGGGGCCAAGAGTCTGGGGCTGCTGGAGAATGACTCACTGTCTAGGATTAGTATTGACTCAGAAGTTAGGAGTCAACTAGGCTAGTCCATTCCAAATGTAGCAACACTTCTAAAAAAAAACAAACTTGTCTAACCCAAAGCTTTCCTGGGTCCACCTTTCTTACAACAAGTTCGACCAAAGGAGGAGTGGTTGGAGGTTGAAGACAGTGATGACTTGGAATCAGGTGAAGAGCCCCTGCCCTCCTCTAAGCATCTCAGCATCGGGGAGGGAATCCTTACTCTGTGACTATGTGGCACCAGCAACCTGGCCTGAAATGGCCAGACCCCGGATGCTGAGCAAATGGGCACAGCGCCCTCTAGTGGGAGTCCTCTGCCTTAGCACTTACCACTGGCCCTGGTCTCTGGGTGAGTGTGGGTATGGGAGTGTGGGTATGTGTGTGTGCATGTGTGCACACTTGTGTATTCTTTTTGTTCATGATTGCTGAGGTCACTACACTGATCCTTTGACAGCCTCTTCTTCCCCCCACCCCCCAATGTACTGAGTCAAAACAGAGTCCATGGGTCATAGTTTCCTCATCTGTGTCTAAAAAAGCTTGGAACCAATGACTGCTAAAATCCCAGCTACAATGACAGAGTGCCAAGGTTCCATGACTCTGGAGTGGAGCTCTGAGGGGGAAGGGAGGGTCCCAAGTCCCTTGTAAGATGCTTCCCCTGGTCAGCAGCAGAAACAGAGTTAGCCTTGTATTTCTCTCTTGTCCCTCTTTGCAGGAGGCCAGGTCAGAGGGGACATGCAAGAAATGACAACAGCTACTCCTGAGAATTAACCAGAAAACTCCTACCCATTCCACCCCTACCCCAGAGAACTTGTGACTCACTGGACTGGAATTTTCTTCTCCAGCTCTGGTATATGCTGGAAGTTGGCGACTGGACGCTATTGGCCCGTTGTAGAGCTGTGGTGGAGAACACAAAAGGGTAGGGGAGGTGTGGAGGGAGGAAGAGGCTGTTAAACATGCAGAAGAAATAGGACCTTTCTCCTATGGCCCATTTACCAAAAGTCAATCAACTAATGATCATTATGTCACTGAGTCCTTTCCCTCCTTCACTGCAAGTTTCTATTCCCACAACACTCACCTCCAACTTCTCATCTTCCACTCATCTATCAAATAGGAATGACAACCTTCTTAGGGACAGGCAGTGCCCTCTTTCAGAAAATCAAGT